GTTTTATAGATGTAAACACCGAATGAGCTTTTGACGGTAGAAGAACTGTTTCTCGGGAAAGGCTTTTATGATTAAGATTTTCAGCAACATGGGTACTGGAACAAGCTACGCCATTCAAAATAAACTTGGTGAAGGTATGTGTGGTGAAGTTTACAAGGCTTGGGACAAAAATAGTCGGACATCATGGGCAATCAAAACACTGAAACGCAGTAATTTCAATTCTCTGAAGGAGCTAAAAAGTGAGGCAATGAAGGAAATAGACGCTTTACTGAAAGTCAAACACCATGAGAATGTTGTGAACCTGAAAGAATACTTCCAAAAAGGAAAACACTTTTGTTTGGTGATGGAGCTTTGTCGAGGAGGAACGTTGAATGATTTTATCCTTCAAAGATCCAAAGATTCGGTAACTAATCTACGTTTCATGAAACAATTGTCGTCTGGGGTGGCATTTCTTCATGAACAGGGAGTAGTACATAGAGACCTCAAACCTGACAATATCCTCATTGAATTTAACAATCTAGGTGAGCCTGTGGTCAAAATATCCGATTTTGGCTTAGCTAAGGTGTTTCTAGAAACATTTAATCCTTCGGCCCAGGAAAAGTGCATATCGAGAAAGTACATGCGAACTTGCTGTGGGACACCCTTTTTCCAAGCTCCAGAGACCCAAAGTTTCCATTACACTCACAAAGCAGATATATTCTCTCTAGGTGCAATATTCGCCGCTATGATGTTGAAACAAAAGGTCCAAATTAATACCTCTCAAGTCGGAGTAAAGAGAGATCTACTAGTAGTCTGTATGGGTAATCTTACAGTTGCTGATTACGAAATTTTCTTTAATATGGATTACCACCTTCCTGCCGATCTTTGGATTAATCCTCAGTTAACTTTGCTGTTAAATAGTCTTCTGCGCAAGGATTACCATGAGAGACCTGGTGCCTACCAACTACAGTGTGCCATTGATAAAATGTCTGACAAAGATGTTGAAACAGACATCTGGCGCGAAATTGCGCGGAAGATCGAAGAAGCAGATGAAAGAATGATAAAAAAAGACAGAAAGCGGCAGCGAAAGCAAAGGAGACTTAATAACTGGAAAAAATGCACAATACTATGACTTAACAACATAATCTTTAAGTTATTACATTTGTTTACTTGGGTAATAAAGTTACTCTCCATTACAACGCGACCACAACAAAATATTTCAAATTCTGTCGACGGAACGATTTTGATCATGGAATAAATAAATTTATACCAAATAATACAATTTAGAATTACACCTACTACTGTAATCTCTGTATTCATGTACAGGATATCCTGGTAAAGTTACTTGGCACAAAACCTGAAACATCAATACATTGTTTATGAATAAAATATATCAATGTATTGTATGTGGCAATGCTGTATACAGGCTATTGATTACAACTTATGTACGAAAATGTTGTTTGTCAAATTCTCACCCACATTGACACCTGCCTAATAATTACGGCCCAATTGAAAGGGTTTGAAGGAATTTAGTTATCAAGGCAGTAACACTTTAATTGCTTCTTGTTTTTTTAAAAAAATATATAGAACTCGTTAAATATATAGAACTCGACTTTGATTTAAGCACAAGTTTCCAAATGCATTACTGTATTTTGCAGTGGATATGAATAATTTGTTTCATTTATTGATTTTTCATAAAGATTGAAAAAAAAAGATTTTCAAAGTTACACAGATAAAATATTAAGTTGAATGTTGAGCTCTTTAAAGAAAAAAAGCAGTTTTAATCTACTGTAAATACTATTTTATATTAAATTGTGAAAGGATATAACAGTATGATAATTATTATATTTTGTATGTTAATGTTACTATCCTCTCTGATAATTAGGCATAACAAATGCGTTTTCGACATTGTTTTCGTTAAGCCACTACCTACCCGGAAGAACAACTCATCTGGTTGCATTAAAGTGATATCGCAAGGTGCCCCAGTAATTAAACAATGTGTTGAACGATAAATGTTATAGCTAAAAATATTCATCATTTAAGTTGGGCTTCCTCAAGTTCAACTTGCCTCCGTGTTTCTACGTGATATGAACATTCTAAGTAATAACAGAATGAAAGCAATATTTTTGACTGCATTGAGGGCGCTAATAATGTAGGCCTAGTCAGTTTCCACTGCTTGTACGACGACATGATAACGTAGAAAAACCTTTCCAGAGCGCGGCCAAAATTTCTGTAGGCCTAATGTTTTATTCATTTATTTTTACCAATAATATTTCTGGTGTTTGAGTTCCGAAAATACCAAATTAGTATCATTAGATTTTAACGATCTGCCAGAAATATGAAAAGCCTATAAAGATAAAACAGTGAACAGCTCATTTCAAATGATATTATTTATTAACTTCCTAGGATACATCCTCTTTTATTCATAATTTTTGTTAATGATCTTTTCTGATTTATTTTACAGCTCCTTTATTCTCGGGCCGAAGCCTTAAAAAATGAAGTTGGCGCTCAATCCAAAAAAAAGGAGGAAATCATATAAAATATATAAAATATTCATAAGCCTATATGGAGACAACATATTACTTATGTATACATTTCGTAAACAAAATTGACATATTATGGATAATAGCTGAGTGGAGGTGTATTAACAATGGTAAAAATATCAAAAACTTAGATATTGATATTTGGTAAAGCTTAAAAACTAAAAAACCAAAATTAATTAACTACGGTAGGCCTATTCAATTCGACAAAGAAACTGGAAAATGATTATGAATTTGGTATGTGTTTCGATCCTTTTCTAAAATTTCACATTGATAAACTTTGACATTCATCTTATATAAATATATATAGATATAATGTAAAAACAATGAAAAAACGATGTACAATAATTGAAGGTTGACTTGCGCAACACAAATTTATTAAAATATAACAAAATCAGCGGATATTTCGATAGCTCCTGCTATCTTTATCAACGTTAACGTGAGAAATCTTGGGAGATCTTACACATACATAAAGAATAAGAGATGGTATTAACAAAGTTAAATATGAAATTAGTTAGCACAAAATATAAATTCGGTGACAAGTTATTGAGTGGATTAATTACAAGTAAACAATGATAAGATGTCGGCAAAATACCAATGATTATATATGTAAATGTAAATATATATATATATATATCATCAAAAAATGTAAATGCAGTTTTCAAATGAATACATAACAATACATCGTGTAGCATAGCTCTCAACGAAATGTAGTCCTACAAATACATGAATAAAGAAAATGTGTAATAAAATGCCTCTGACGGGATTCGAACCTGCGACCTCTCGCTGTCAAGACGAGTCATAACCATTAGACCACAGAGGCTTCATGGTTGAATTGATTCAAATACCACCAGATACACTCTATTACACAATAGGTACGGCTAGGAGAACTTATGTAGGATATCATCACTGCAGTAAGATGTGTATAAGAGACAGTATATATATAATCCTACATTCATCTTGTACAAACTGCACACGGTAATTCAGCCCCGTTCACATATGGTGGACAAGGCAATCCACCGGTAGTTCCTCCAACGCAGCGAGTCTCTGCGATGAAAATCTGACTTGTTGCTATGTTTGTGTTGGCATTTGTAGTACCTTCACGACCCGCTGCATTTCCATCAACGCAAACGAACTCGGCTCTTTTTCTGTCTTCCCTGGCACCCATAAGATATCCACTGTATTCTAAAGTCCAGTCGGATGGACATGTGCTTTTGGCAGGCATGACGAATATTGCACTTCGATTTGCAAGGCAAACGGCACACAGAACATCTGCTGCGTGTAGATGGGCCATCGGTGTAAAAGTTAACTGACCCAAGCGATACTCAGTCGCTCCAATTGGAGCCCTGTAAAGTTGGACGTCAGGCACGGTGAAACCATATGATGGTTGTTCGGGAAGGCATAAGTAGTTTACTCCACCACCAGAAAAGCCCTCAACACCTCCTGCCATGAAACCTAAAAGAACTCCATATTATATAATTATAGTAACGTTAGTGTAGTTCAACAATGAACGATGTATTGTTTAAATGGTTGGGGTAAATAAGACCTAATACAGGGGCGGATCTGGGTTCAAATTTAAGGGGGTCAGAATTATGTGGGCCCAACTTACTATGGTCAACTCACTAAATAAATAAATACAGGTCTCCACCAATTAAAGACCACTTTCGGGATCGGGGTTTTGGTGATCGTTAGAAGCTTTGGTCTATAATCAAAGAATCCCCCTAACTAAAGACCGGCACTTAAAGCGGTCATCAGCTCTACTCACACTTCAGTGAACATCTCCAGTGGGCGGGGCTTATACTAATATTTTTAATATTTATAAACCAAAAATTGAATATTTTATTACCACTCATTTGTTAAACATATGTAATACTTCAATAATCAACAATTCATTTTAATTGGACTTTAAATCGATCTGCTAAACTATGCCTAAGTAGGTTAGCATGCATTCTGTAGGCCAGGGCCCATATATTTCTTACAGAGGGGGTTCGCCCTGAACCCCTGGATCCGCCACTGATGTTTGAGATATGTTATAAAAAAATATACAATTTGTTCGAATCTCATACATAAATATGTAAAGCCTTGTTTGTGTAGATAGTTAAATAATTTCAAAAACAATTTATTGAGACCAAGTGATATTGCTTATGAAGATAATCTACATAAGGTTATACATACATTAATATTTTTGAAAATGTAGGCCTAAGATGTATTGAAACAAAATTAAAAACAATATAATTCATAAAAACCACAGTAAACTCTTCTCAAGACTTGAAAGTTCTACTGTTACTTTTTATGTAAGATCTATGCCTACCGTACCTTTATTTTGTACTTTTAGACTTCAAAAATAGCTTTTAGAAATTGACATTTCTAAAAGGAACATGCATCCCAACACTCCCTTAAATTCAGACATGTATATAATTTTCCCACTGTAAGAAAATAATCCGGCTCAATGGTCCTGAAAATGTAGGTCTACAATTTCTTTTGCCTTGTAGCTAAGGGGACACCCCCACCCCCCAGATTCGCCAATATAATGCTACACATGTAATACAGTATAATTTAATGACTTACACATACAATTATCATAACAAATACTGTACCAATGTTTCATGAATTACTCACCTTTGTAAACCAAATCCGCAAATGGTGGACATGTCGCACGCCCCCAGCGCTGATATGTAACTTTGCCTCGGTAAGTATTTGGTTCTGTAGTAGGAGTTACATAATCGTCTTCTGCAAAAGAGGGTACGTTGAAGAGAGTCTAAATTAGTTTTAAATCACCACTGGAACTTGCATACCGTGAAACCTCGAATATAACCCCAATGGGCTAGATCTCGAGAAGAAGCCCATCTTGGACAGAAGCACACCTCCCCCACCCCTCTAGATTACAAAAGAAATCTCGAAAGAAAAAAAAAGCCAAAAAAGAGACCCATGTGCTTCCAATCAAATAGGCTTCCTTTCGAGATAAGCCTTATTATTACATTGTAAAAATGGTTAGTATTAATAATGTACACACGTTTAATAAATTAAATATAGGTATATCATTTCTTATTTGAATTATATCAGAAACTTGATATTATACAGTATACATTATATTTATATATTTAGTTGTCCAACAGATTGTCGTCGGCATGTTTAGTTATTATAATTGAAAAAATGATGTTTTAATTTTCAGCAAATATTAAACAGAAGTGATTAATGATAAATTATATAAATAAATGATATAAATAATAATTTCAAGGTTGAAAAACTTCTTTCATTGAGTGGGCCTCTCTTAGTATATTAGTTAACAATATTAAGTTATAAGAACGTTATCATGACATTATGGTTTGATGTTGAAACGTTATTTTGTAGAACATGCATAAATACGCACTTACAACGTAATGGCACTACAATTACGTTTGAACTTTCCTACAACGTTGTGTGAACGTTATTTTTTGACATACCTAACTACAACTTTCGCGAACGATATATTTTGTGTTCGGCGTTGTTTCTACCATCTACATGTGACGCCTTAAACCTTTCAGTCAATAAATTCGATAGTTCTATTCCAGCAAACACACTTTCCAATGCCAATAGGGGGAATCCATTTATAAAATAAATAATCATGAAATTTTGTTGCTATTTAACTTCCAAATGGAGATCAATTGAACTCTGATTTCATTGCAATTGCTACACTGTCGCTACAGCGTTTCCAGTGCAATCGTTTGTACTGCGTATTAGTCGCCGACACATTTGAGAAGGCGCCCCGATGCGACCGACCAATCAATTCCTGGTTTCCACAAAAATCGCTACACGCTATTACCGACTCCTTTGGTTGGTCAGCTGAATGCAGCCCCGAATGCAGCTTGGTTTCCATAAAATCGCTCACCCTATCAGCGACAGTCGCCAACAGTTGTCGGAAAGGTTGAACCGTGTGCAACTTTGCCGATTGCGTTGCAAACAATTCAGAATGCATTGCTAGCTGCCCTGACGCAATCGGAAAGGCACCCCGATTCGTCTGCAACACAAGCCAAAGTTGAATGTTCAACCTTCCCATCCCGACATCGCTTACTATGCACTCTTACTATCGTCTGATTAATTGGATTTGCGGGCATTTTATTACCCCTGGTAAGCGATTCCCCGAAAACTTGAAACCAATGCTAGGTGTAGTAAACGAGAATACACATAAAATCTGCCCATTAAATTGCAGTAAGAATATTAAGAATTTTGACATACAACCCGTTTTCTGGAAATAACGTCTGGCATACGAAATAGCAATCTAAAAAAAAGTTTGCTTGAAGAATTTTCATTACATGTACATTGCTCTGCTTGCTGTTTCTGAACTTTTATTTACATCTCTGATTTACAGCCGTATTATTAGGTATATTAATTAATACTATTTCTGCTAATAGCCTATTACAATATGTAGCATGCAAAATGTTTTTTATGTTTATTAAATTCATTAGGACTCGATCTATTCCAGATTTAATTATAATATTAGGTCTTATTTTATTCCAAATATCTGAGATATGAGTTGTTCAGACACTTAATGTCAAATCAAGTGTAAGCAGGTTTTTTTTTTGTTTTTTTTTAAAATAATTTGTTCACATGGTACAAGAATTAAAATGTCCATTATTATTTCTAAGGCAACAATTATGCTCCGCATAAAAAAGGTATATTGTACAACTAACTGCATTTAGACGATATTGTACTTACTGCCAATGACATGATCCTGGATGTTGGTCGAATCTGATCTCGATTCCTATAAAAAGAGCATTATTATGTTATCTTCTGTGAAAAAGGGTCAGGGTATCGTTGTTGCCTCAGGTCAAATTAATTCTCCCAGGTTCTGACAAATCTTTTTTTTTCATTTTTGCAGTTTCCACGAATTCCTCATTTGCGTAATTCTTACCAGTTAAATTCCCGAAACTAAAAGTTTGTCACTATGGACTTACCAATGATAGACTGTACTAAGGCTATTTTAATTGAATATAGGCTTAAGGTAAAATATAAGAAGAGATGCATTTAAAACTTTCTACACTAAAATTATCAAAAGGAAAAAATAGACTTCAATGAATGTATTATTTTACCTCAACTGCCAATAGGTGATTAATAAGAACTCTCTGAGAACTTATGTAGGATATCATCACTGCAGTACTGATGAGACATATCAACATTCCAAATGTTAATAACACGCGGAATAATTGCTCTTTCATTGAATGTAAGCTGCTAGGACACATCTGAGGATGAGTGCAAATACTGGAATCTGAAACTTCGGTTTCTGTTACCAGGTTAATATCGTCCTGTGTTCTCGTTTGAACAGCCATGTGTCCTAATAGTAACATGTTTTAGGCTAAACCCTATTGCAGAATGAGTGCTGATGGCTATTTTTGTCTGTAAGTGCACACCAGAAATGACGTTGTTACTATGTTTTCTAAGGTTATTTAAGTTACTGTTTTTGTAATAAACTGTAAAGTTCCAAAATCCGATCTCGGCATGAATTAATACCTTTAATAAGGGGCGATAATGCCAACTTTGGACATGCAGAGATGTGAAAGTCAGACTTTTATTTATAGTAACTAATTTACACTTTAAACGTGCCATGTTTTTTTTTCTTTTAACAAAGTGTTCATCTAAAAATAGGCCTACTGTATATGTATTATTGATATTTTTGAAAAATATATGATTAAAATGAGAATGAAAATGAAAAACATATTTGTGAATTTAAGTGTTATTGGAGTTGATTAATAATAATATTAATAATAAAGCTTTATCGTTGTGCTTTATACAGTCACACACTCACACACAGACACTGAAGGAGTGGGAGAAGAGGGAAAAGATTAAAAAAAAAACAAAAAAAAAAAACGTTTTGAGTCAACAGCAGCGGAACACTTTTGAACATGATGGGGGGGGGGGTGCAATTTCATAAGGTCCAGTGTGCGAGCGAAGCGTGTATCTAGGCTGGGGGCCAGGGGGCGTCAATGCCCCGGTGGGAGGAAGCTACGGATAATTGGTTTGGTGAATTTTTCTAGTTATTTTATTGGCATCAAGCTACTGTAATATGACTTCATAAGTTTTGTAATTGCTTCCACAATCACAATGAATTATATATCATGAGGGGTAGGCCTATCCTTGATAGGCCTATGGGTATTCCACGACGAAACCTACTCTTTCCCCCGATGGATGAAAATTACCCTTCTATAGGAGCCCATAAATGGTACTTTAACTTGTAATTTAAAAAAAATTAGAAGGGTGTGGGGCCGTGCTGACTAGGAAAGGTAATTCTGCCACTGTTCAATATAACACTTGACATAGCCTATCATTCTGTTTCCTAATGTCAAGCAAAATATTTTTTTATTCGAAAGATTTCTTTATTTAATAGTTTATACAAAGTATAATACATTAACTGTAAATTCTGTAGTTAACCATCGGCGTACTTTATTTTAATAAATGGGATAATTGAGTATCTTTTTTTCGTTAAAGTATTTGGAATTTAAATGTGGTTATATCACGCTAGTTTGATGGTTTACTGTAAGCCAATCAGTCACACTTAGGCCTACATCTTCATGGTTAACATAAAGAGAACTATGAGCGTCACTCCATAAAGAGTGAAGACCTCGACCCTGTGCCTAAATACAGAATTAACGCATTTAAGCGGGCGATTCCATTCTTTTCTTCATGCGTGTTTACAGACGTCAATCAACATCTGGTTGCTCAACTCAAGAAGGAAACTTGTAATGTTCGTTTGAAAAAAAACCAAAAAAACCCAAATAGTATAATAATAATAGGTCGATTTATAAGGCGTAAATAGCCTTATAAAGCACCAAGTAATAATAATAATAATGACATTGCAGCGTTCGTTAAATGTTTGTCACTGGTAATGCTGGGAACAGTCACAAAAGTAGAAGGGCAGCCCCTGCCCCCCCCCCCTCCATTACAAAAAGTGGAGGGCCAATGCCTCCCCCCACCACCGCTTCTGCCGCCGTTGTTTTGAGTAAAGTCTTCAGGTTCTCGTGTGTGGAATCCTGCTTGATGTGTTCAGGCAGTTCATTCCACAGAGTACAAGAAAGCAAAGGAAAACGATCCAAGTTTGCCCATGAAGTAGAGTACTGACCTTTGGGATTGTGAGTAAGAACTTCGATGAGGGGGTCAATTTCTGTGAAGGGTTAAGAATTGAAATAAGTTGCATTATGTAAGTTTGAGCAACACAGTGCAGTGCTTTAAAAGTTAAGGGCATCATTTTGAAGATGATTCTTTAATTATTCTATATATTCGTATGAACATTTGAAAACATCTGAATGGTAGCCAATGGAGGTCACAGATGACAGGGTGCTATGTGACAATATTAGGGATTGGCAATCAAATTAACTTATTTGGATAGACAAATTAATAATTTTGGTCCGACAACCTCGTCATGACATAGGACGGCTGCAAGTTGACTTTTGAATAAAAATTCTGATATAGGCAAACAACAGCTTCTTTGCTGAAGAAAGTTTAACCAACTTATTTTATTTCATTAGATCACACTTTCTGCTCATTCACAAATTAGGTATCATTTTCTGTCATCAAAATAAAATAAAAAATCCTATGAATGTTTAGCAACTGGTATTACAGTACAGTATTGCACACGATGCTAAGCTTAGCATATACAACAATAATAATAATAATATCAGGAATTTATAAGGCGCCAATTCCAAAAAAGATCAAAGGCGCACTATGCAAGTGTGATACCCTCGGAGAACAACATGGTCTTAATTTGCGATTTAAAGTTGCAGAGATTAGAAGAAGTAGTAGTGTAGTTATAATAATAGGATTTCGAGAAGATGAAAACCAGATCTTTAAAGTCTGTCAGATTCAACATAGGCTTACATTATTTATCATATTTGTTTGCACTTACTTGGTAAAATACTGAGCATTAAGTACAATAACACATCAGGTAGGGCAAACACATCAGGTAGGGCAAAAACATCATCTAGTATTGTTGACTTCTATCAGACTTAGAAAGACACAGTGATCCAAGTCAATCATAAACTGTCTGATCAAACATTTGGTAAGTTTAACAGACACAAATATCAGTGCATTTCCAGGTTTATAATAGGCACATTAATAAATACTTGCTATAGAAATGTAACATTAATATAATAATAGAAATATAATAACTAGTTGATTTAAACATAAGTTTCTGAAGGTTTTTTTGTTAGCTTCCACACACATGAACGTATATGTAATATATTTCCTTATAAAAACCTACTATTTTGTTCACATTTTTGGAATGTACAAGTGAGAAAATGCTACACATTTCTCAATTTTTTTCCCCTAAAACAAGTTCCCATGGTCTATACATATAAATATAACCTTATATACTGCATGTAAAGCTCTTTATCAACAGAATGAAATTAGTCAGCTCTTTCTTCAATTTTAAGAATCAACCATAAATAAATAAAATGTATCTGCTCAGAAGCTTTAATACAATTTAAATATACAGTAGACTATATTCAAAATGTTCCGTTTTCTATAGTATTAACGATTTGTTACTGTTTTATACCCAAGATAATGATTTTTGTGACATCATTAGATCCAGTGGACCATTCTGTAGTGTCAAACAACCTTACCAACTAACCAATCAGAACAGAGACAGGAATACCCGCTTCTCTCACAAACACAAGTGCTGTCTCACAAATAGCTCAAGCTTGAGGAACAATGGTCAATGGTCAAGCAATTTTATAACATCTGCTACAATAAAAACTGTCTCAAGGCGCTTACCAACAATATCTTAGAGGCAGGTCTTGGCAGAAAGATATGCTATACTTTTTGAAGCTCATAATGTTTCCCTAGAGCAAGTTCCCACGGTCTGTACGCACATGAGCAAAGGAATTTGATGCAGTTCCTTATGTAGCCCTCGTCGAATGGGTTCACATTCTCCTCAACGTTCTTCAGGTACGTAATCCTATGACGTGCCATGAATTCCCAAGTTGTTTGGTTTGTGAACATCATGAACGTGTGACAGCAGAGTAAACTCACGACAACAAATCCAGATAGAAGGAGTATCATAAAAGCGATGAGAATTAGGGCATTTGTTTTAAACCATTTCTCAGCAGAAGGTTCACTTTTAAATCCACTCCTAAACAGAATCGGAATACATGGAAAATTAATTTATTCAAATTAATTGAAACTGCACTTTCGAGTAGCCATATGAGTTACTCTATTTTTAGCATAAAAAAATTCAAAATATTATATTAAAATATATCTGGTATTAACTGAATGTTCAACAACAATTTTAGATTTTTAGAATATATATTGACGTTGTTGGTGTGTCCTGTCCTGGAATTGTAAACATTCTGTTGGATACCCCACTGAATACAGTCATGCAGTTGCCATTGAATTTTCTGCTCAGGAAAAATATGCTATTTAAATATGGATATTTTCCCACAATGGCATTGGTAGCAAATTAAACTTGGATTAAACCTAGTTATTTTCTCCAGGGGCAGATCCAGAGATGTATAAAAAAGGGGGTCTAAAGTGGGGCCGATCGAGATAATACTAGCCTACGGGGTCCGGGGGAATGCCCCTGTGAAATCTTGTGTTCTAGACGCCTGAAAATAAACTCTGAGGCGTTTTGGGCGATCAATTATTTCTTTTTCTTTCTTTCTTTTTTTTCCCTTCCCCCTAAATCTGCCCCTCTTTCTAAGCAATGTTCACTTACCACACAGCTTGGGTAATTTGACCAAAAAAAAAAAACATTATGTACAGTACTGTAGGCTATTTTTGCATTGATTTTTTTTTGTTTTTTGAACTGAAGTATGTGTAAGTTCTACCAAAAAAAATTATAATCTGCGCATTACCTTAGTTTATATATAGAGCATCATGTGTATATGTTTCAGTGGTGGATCCTGGGGGCAGCAAAGGGGTGAGTTTACCCCCCTCTCCCTCCACCTCCCTAAGCAGCAGCCAAAATGTTACTGAGTTTGCAATCATTTAGAAGAGATTAAAATGGTTAAACCTCTAAGGCATCCAGATGGCATAGGCACAATAGGTATCGGAATACCCAAAAAAAAACCCCTCTTTGTTGATCAGTTTGCACACCTTTTGGACAATTGGTCCTTGATTGCCACTCATGCCACCCCTGCAAACAAAATTCTGGATCCACCAGTGATGTTGTCTTGTAAAAAGGATTGTTTACTTATTACAGGACAGTAATTTTCAAAATGTGTCTGAGAATTCATGAGTACAGTAGCTCAAATAAAGGAAATTTAATATTTACCATGTTATCTTAATTGTCCATAGAATTAACACCATTTCGCAAAGGAGAAACAGCCAAAAGAATTTATGATTTCGTTCCCCAACACAGTTTTCCAGCCACGGGCAATGATGATCAAACTTACGTACACACCGGCGACACTCAGAGCAATGCTTAGAACGCACTGGTTGCTAAAATGATAATACATTATGAATTTAGCCTGTTCAGCATCAAGCATATAGTTCTTTATGCTTATATAAACCTCATAGTGAAGTATTTAGAATGTTGTTTTATTCACTCATTAGACAAAAATATTGATTCAAACAGGATTTCAACTGAGGATCCCTTCAACTAAAACCACAGCTCTATGAAGACAGATACATAAAAAAAATCTAAAAATAAATTTACACAACACTAGATTAAGCTGTACAGCATGGAGGTATAAAACCAGTGCGAGGTAATAAAAACATTTGTCTGTACAACAATCTTCTTTACATTTTATTAATATCTATAGAGCAGTTGTTGATATGGGCTTATGCACACTCAGAAACCCTTGTTTGCTTTGTTTTCTTTCATTTACTTGATTGAATAGTGTATGTAATCTAAGCTGCAAGTGAAATAAATTTGATTTATTTTTGATCTTCTCTATACAGTATATATAGTATAATTTTACAAAACATGGTTGGATATTGTAAAAAATAAACCATGCAAGTGTCAGGACAATAATTGTAATACTCTAATTGACAATAACCAATTCAGGGAGATATGGTTAAATGAGTTCCGAACACATTCTTATTTTGTGGCACATGGTGATAATATCCATGGGCACTAACAACAAAGTAGTAAACAAATGCAAACATGAATTTGCAGGAATGGGTTATTTTCCGAAGATACTTGCTTTTGCTTAATTCAGGGAGTTTGGGAGGCTTTCCAATTACCGGGAGATTTTCGCGACATCATTAAAAAATTATCTGTTGTATGCGTATCATCGGGTTGTGTGTGTCTGGCTTAGTGTTGAATAATTTACATTCAGCATGCATTCACCCCACAAATTCACCTCTCAAAAAGCAGCAATATGAGGTTTTCATCTTGGTTTGTTTTTATTTCTATGTCAATACAGATGTGAACTTTTAACAAAAAAGCATACCTCAACACAGCAAGAGTCACACTTCCTTCGGCGCAGCTTTCCAAGCATCATGGCCGCTTCTGATTCAATGTTACACTCTTCGTCTCCCTCATCTGAGTCATCTGTAGAGCTCAGGCTAACCGTAAATGTTGCTTGTCTCTGTGATTAAACATAATATATGACTGTTTATTCATTGGTGGTAGGCTACAATCAACATTAAAATTGCTTGGCAGATATTTTTTGTGGATCATGACCATGTAATGCTGCGGGTTTGGCAGAGATAAGATTTGTGCCTCTTAAGCCACTTTCAGACAAACTAGCTGGCAATATTGCAGTAATATTTTTTGTAATATAACGCCTCTCTGTATGAATGGATTACGTACTCCGGAATACCATTGTTAGTGTCAACTGTATAAACAAAATGCAAGTTTGCCTGTAACCATAATGCTAGGCCTAGATTTATGACATAACCGGCCTACTAGTTATTTCTTATATAATGTATACTAACAACTATTTTCTACCTTTTCTTAACATTTCTTATCTTTATTTAAATTGAATAAAAGTAATATATTGCAGGAATGTGACCTGCTTTCGTTTCACACACACGCCGGAACGCACTGTAATGGCAATATTGTGGTAATATTACTAGGTCTGAGATGGAACGCCGTGAAGATTCCCGCAATATTACAATAGCTCTGTATGAAAGTGGCTTAACAGTAATTATGGATCCGTGTTCGAAACCTGGGCTAGACTACAGCCATAATCACAAAGTTCCTTGAATAACCATCACTGTAGTATACTGTTTACACACATTCAGTCTTTACACTACTATGGAACAACCGACATCCAAGTGCTATAGGTCTGTATGTGGCATACTGTAAAGTTTGTTTAGTTAATGCAGATGAGACCTCAAAAACTAGCTCAAATTTTCACAGAAAATTCGTGACGAAAATAGATTTGCAAAATCGTAATTACTGTATAATACATTGGTTATATACAGTATTAAGATTAGGAGAAAGCATAATTTTCAGAAAAATCTGCGCAAAAATCGGTTCTTATTTTCCGAAATGCGCAGAGGATATAATATTCCCAGCACAGGCCTTACTTTAAAGTTTGGTGCATGTGGCTGGATGTAAGAAGCATATAACAGTATGAGGATGTCCAATACAAGAGATTGATGTCACAGCAGGAAAGTGGGCTTTAGAAACAGATCAACATGGATCCAAAAATTGCTTTTCAAGGTTACCTATAAAGGGCATTTATATAGGTCACCCTGGTCATTTGGCAAGATTGTGCGAAGCCTGAATTCAGAGAATATACGTATTAAACTATTTGATTTGGTGTGTGCTTTTTTGCTGATTGGAATATTGGGGACATACAAAGGAAATTAAAATGCTCTACTTCCCATAAACCATATTGTACTTGTGATACTGTAAAATACAACCAACCTAATAATAACCTAATAACTTTAGATACAGTAGCACCAAACTTAATCATGATTTACCCAATTTCAGTGAAAAATTGAATTTAACATTCTAGGTATTATGACATGGGAAAATTTGTAAATTAGTAATGATGAAATCTAATGATAAATTGATTAATAAGCTGCCTCTTCAATTTAAATATTTCAAATGCTAATGTATTGTGTATCTTTTTGCCAGCTTCAATGCTTTGTAATCCAATTATTTTTAAATAAAAAATATTTTTTTGATGTACTTATACTAGCTTTCGTCTTGAAAAAAAATGGTTTACTATTTAAAAATAATTGGATACAGTTACACAACCAGATGAAACTATTTGATCATTTAATGCTTTGATTGCTGAGACTACTGTAAATGCAAACTAACTCCGGAATTCTTAAAATGAAGTTTGAATAGAGCACTACGACTAAATCACACGCATCTTGACTAAATTTACCTATGCAGGCCGAATTGTATATGTTTAAAAACATATATTTTTGTAGAACACAGTGTAACAGGGAATAAACATTTAAGTTTGCAAATGGGAACATTAATACCATATTCAGTGGTTACTGATTATCAAAAAAATCCCTTGCATGTTGATTTGTGGTAACAAGCTACACCGTCATCACAACAACAATGCAGCCGCCCTCGCATGGTTTCAATTTAATAATACTCCACAGAAAGCAAATTTTTAGTGATTGTTTCAATTTTCAAGTGTTACTGTATGCATTGTTAAGTTCTACTAGTATTATTATAGAAAAATAAACAACTGGTGATCTATTATGCATTATGAAGAAATACATTTTTAAATGACAGACAGGGGCTTGATATGCATCCGAGTTACTAGATCCTCTGCTAAATAAATGATCGCGTTGGTTTGATATTCGTTGCTTGCCAGCCGTCTTCAGATGAACTAGGACTTGATTTAGTCGTAGTTGGAACATCGACTACGTTGCTTATGAATACAAATTGAAGTTGAAACTAGGACTAGTTAAAGTTCTAGTTTAAATTTCGACTATATTTAGAATATACAGTAAGCGCAAGTCTTGGAAATGTCAAATAAATAAGAGAAACAGTTATGTAATGTATAACGGGTCTGTATTCAATAATCTGTGTGAATAAAAAAAAATATGATTTTGTTTTTTCCAACTAAAGTTAAGAACCCCCAGTACTTTTTTTATCCATAATTTGCTAAATTCATAGTTTGGTAAAGTAAAAATCATCAAATACAGACCCTTTTTTCATTACATAAAACTGAAATGCTGTTTATTTATTTGAAGATTATAGAAGAAAAAACAAACAACTTGAATGTCTATTCCATAAGGAATGGTAAAACAATTAAATTATTTTGCATTTCTACAATGTCAATCGCCATCTGGAGTTCAATCCAAGACCTTCCAAATATATTATATTAATACTATATACACCAATTAATTAAACACTCATTGAATAAAATTAGTTGAAAATGCTCTGTTTTCTTGATATTTTTTTGTTTTATTTTTTTTTTTGTGTTGGTGTGCATCTTGGACTGCAGCATGGTCTTTGATTGCATAACTATCAATTGTATGTACACTGATCGCTTGTGGTTTTTACACCATAAATCCAGGACTCAAGCTTTCTTTCACTTAACTGCCATTAGGCCTCCTTGGGTTTGGGTTAGTTGATGCTGCAGTCCTACAGAGCCCATTTTATTTTCTTTGAAAGGTTCATCTTCATTTTGATTCTTTGTTTTTGTGATTTCTCTATTTTTGAATCTTTATTTTTGTATCTGTGTGTATCAGTGACTCAGTTCACTTTGGTTGGCCCTGGTCTCCCCATTTTGTGTTTGACCAAATAAATAATGAAATTAAATGAAATTTAATTAAGCAATTAAAGATACTTTAATTTAAAAAACATTAAAAATGTATTTATTCATGGCAAATCTTCAAATTAAAAAATAGAGAAAATGGGTTAAATATTATAGTATCCCCTAGGACACAATTGAATGGGGGTTGAACTGACCGTTTGACAAACTAAGCAACACCCCCTTCCTTTAGTAAGGCTGTACTAATAGTGTTTGATCAGAGAGTTAAAGGAGACCTCATATTGTGGCAAAGTGTCCGTTTGGTATAGGGATGTCCACTGAATAGGGATCTTTCAATGACTACAATAGTTTGAATTTGTCAGAAAACTATACAATGAATTCAGTAACTAACTATTTGATGTATTCAGTACGTCCTCATCCTCTATTATACATCATTAATCACAAATATTTAAATGTTGTTTTACCTTTTCTTTACCCTTTGGAACATAGCCTGGATCCATAAGGCTAGCAGCAAAGTAGAGTGAGCCAGACACTGTGACGAGTGCAGTAAATGCTGAGATAAGGAATATGTTCCTATCATTGATTGCATCCTTTAATTCTATGAATAAACATACACAAGTATTAAAAAGATTTCAACAAATATATATATTTAAGTGCATTTTGCCAAAGGATACAAGGTACTCGGAAAATGTTTGCGAAAGAAGAATTATTTTGGAGAAAGATGCGATTTTGATTAATTTTTGAAAACTGCGAAAAAGCACAAATAGCTGTAATTAATAGGATTTTCAGTATCCCAAATAAGGGAAGCAAATGTTGATATGTTGCTGTGAGGTGCATATTATAAATAATCAATATAACATCATCATATTTTTTGAAATCTTGATGCAATAACTGAATGATCTTTATAATTGTGACAGTGTCCCACGAATCATGTTCACATTCACAAAATTAATAACATTAGTTATAGGATCCAGGAGTCAATGTTTATAACATGCCCCACCCCGTTATCACCATCATTACTGCCGTCATCATGTTGTCATCATTGGTGCCCTCTTCAGTTTGCAGAATTTCATCTTACCTGTATCCATGAAGATGAGGACACATGTAACACCAACAGTGAGACACAAGTGGACAACACGGATGAAGACACCTGTCAATACCTTCGCATCTAGTCCAAGGCACCTCATTATCGTTTGAGTACTCATTGCTTGTATGCAACAACAGTACTAGTATGAAAGATCTCTCTATGAATGAAAAAAAAGTTGAAATTTTAAAAACCAATTAGCAATAAAGGCAGTTTTAATTATCATGATCATTAACAGATAAACTTGTGGTAAATAAACTAATTTATAATTTTCCATTTGAATTCAATTAGATATGCCCGTCTCTGCTCTTCGTCAGCAGTTGCCAACCCAAAGCGTCAACTGGTTATCAGTATTAGACTGAGGGCATCGTCAGACAAGAAATGATCTGTTGCGCACACATCGTTGCATTGTGTTCTCCATGGATTTGCTTAGCTTTAAGTCTAATGACGGTTAGGGAGTACCAGTCTCTATAGTAATTTTTGCACAGGGAATAAATTCTCCGCGCAAAAATTTGGCCTAGAAATCCGCTTGCGCATTTCGGAAAATAAGGGCTGATTTCTGAGCAGATTTTTCTGAAAATTAGGTTTTTGATCAAATCTTAATATAAGCAATGCAATTATGCAGCAATTACAATTACGTACACCTAGTTTCCTAGTGATTTTCCGCGCAAATTTAAGCTGATTTTTTAGGTATCCTCCGCGCAATTAAAACTTTACAGTATGGAGGGAATGCAGTTGCATTTAATCATTAGAAGAAACAATAGGTTTTGAAAGGAACCCTGCTGTCAATCTACCAGTTTCACTTTTGATACCATAATTTGAGTTTTTCGGTGTCAATTTTTTCTTTGTGCCTGTGACTTTATCAATAATGTCGGCATACAACGGCCTTCTGGGTGCAGGCGGTGGGGACAGTGATAGAGTACCCTGTTGTGGAGAGCTGGACCCTTTTCCCAGGAAGAATACTAAATTATATATATTTTTACATTTTATAAATAATAATTGATATTGAATACAGTAAGTAGGCTAGTCTTTCAAATCAATAAATTGTCATTGCTTCAGGGGCTTCGCCCCTAACACTCTCTGTCTGAGAGTGCCGTCTGACCACACCCACAGGGGCCGATCTGATGTAACCTTTGTGAATTCTTTAAGTGCTCAAAAACATGATAAACATCACTCTTCAAGAATGCTAACATTAGTTTTTTAGGCCAGGCCTATCTATCGATCATCATCATACTCATCCATAGGAAAAATGTTGCAATCATTTGACTTCAAATACATGCATCATCAAAAGACAATTTGGATTTTCCACATTTCGAAGGTGAGGCGCCTTTACCGTCGCACCTACAGTACCACCCGGCCATCACCCGAATTTTGAGCCCATGGGTTGGAACGTCTAACAGCCTAGGCCTATCTACAGATTTAGAATGAACTCCCGGCGGTCAGAATGGCTTCGTTCGGATCGTTCTCTGCGCTGCACCATTGACATTGCTGGGCCTAGCATTGGACAATCATTTTTACATTTGTTTAAACACTAAAGACCATAATTTTTACTACAGCATTTTATTAATTTAGTACGAGAAAAAGATAATTACAATATAAAGCAATAACACTTATATATAAGCTTACATATCAACCTTTTAAAAATTGAGTTTCAAATGACCTTTCATCATCTTTTATCTCTTGGGATCTTGTTTTGTTATTGTGGGGGCGCTGTGTAAATTAATTTCACGTTTTTTGTTGGGGCGACGGGCGACGACGACGACGACGTGAATGAGCGCTCGTCACCCCTCCTCTCATTCAGGTTAGGCTAGGCCTGAGCCAGAGTCAAGAAGATTACAGTACAGTAGGACGTAGTCTAAATGTCGGTAACTGGACGGGAAAATGGTGCGGTATATTTCTAATAATACTAATATGCTTGATCTCTGATACAGTTGTTAATCAAGTTTCACTGAATGTGTTTTTTCTAATTGAAACGTGTTCGTTTGAAAATTGACTGGGCCTAGGCTTAGGCCTAGGCCCTAGGCTAGCTAGGGAGGGGCCTAGGCTAGGCCACCTAGCCGCTAGGCCTACTGTTGGCTAGGCTAGGCCTAAGGAATACCCGGCCTAAGGCCTGTGTTTACACTTACACTAATACAGGTTAATGGGTTTTAATATAGGCAAAGCCTTTAGGCCCTACTAGCCTGGCCTCTCTAGCTATATTATAGGCCTACCTAGACTAGAGGGTAGGCCCTAGAGTAGACCTAGGCCTAGGCCTAGCTAGAGTACTCAGGCTAAGTAAGGCTACCTTACTATCACCAGTAGGGTGTAAGCCAGGCCTACTGAACTGCAGTAAGCCATCAGTGACCTCCTCGCCCCTAGACTAGCTAGCAAAATTTTGGTATTGGGTACTACTCTTACTGTCTGTAGCCGTCATTGATGCTATCCGTTGACAGAATCACTGCTGCTGGCATTCACTTGAGAATCAATAATATCCCATTATGCTTCACAAGTGCATTCTGTTATAGTTTTATATATATTTTATGTTTTTATTTATTTATTCATTTATATTTTTATTTTTTTTTGGTTTTGTTGATTAAATAACTAACTTCCCATAACCCAGGGTGGGACCCTGCTCATATCCCTCAATAGGCCATCCACAGCTTAATGCTGAGAATGCCCAATGATTACCCATCTAATTATTTATAAGCTAGTATGTTTCTCTGTCGAAACATTGGCGAAAAAATTGTGACCTGTCAATTTGGTCACAACAACAATGTCAACAATATATGAATAAACCAAATTGGCAATAGGCTATTTATAAGATAAGTCACCAAAATCAATGACAAATACCAACACGGGAAGACTATCATTTTGGCCAGTGGCACGCCTTTGTTTTGGTCGCACCGCATAGTTATGCATTACGGTTGCGATTCACAGCCACTGGAACACCGATTTAAATGCTAGTGGTTTATTTATCTTTGGAAGGTAATTTAAAGTAAGGGCTACTGTATTTTTAAACAGGATTTATTTGTATTTTGGTATGTGGGAACCTGTTTGTCTTTGGAAATTAATTAGAATATGATCATTATAGCGTGTTTTTAGTACAGTATATGTATTTAAAACATTTGTTCTTTTCTTGCAGTCCCCAAAAGTGGAAATTTATGTGTACAGTGTAATAGTAGTTTTCAATTTCTGAATGCTTCATAATAAAGGCATTATGCATTTTGTTATGATTTGATTTGAATAATTTATTAATATACATTTATATCTGCATATATTCCCATCTGTCTGGAGAAGATACACATTCTCCCCCTGCAATCTTTGTTCAAACAGATACTCTGCAAATCCTCAGAAAAATGTGGAGTCGAACTCACCCCATTCCCCTGCAAACTGCCCCATTCCCCTGCAAACTTCCCCCTTCCCCTGCAAACATGCCCCTTCAATCTAACCCTTAGCAAGCTCTCCCCTAACCAAACTTACCCGTAGTATGCTTACCCCTAACTAAACTCACCCAAAGCAAGCTTGCCCCTAAACAAACTCACCTGAAGCAAGCTTGCCTCTAACCAAAGTCAGTAGCAAGCTTGCCTCTAACCAAACTCACCCGTAGCAAGCTTGCCTCTAACCAGACTCACCCGAAGCAAGCTTGCCCCTAAACAAACTCACTCAAAGCAAGCTTGCCTCTTAACAAACTCACCCAAAGCAAGCTTGCGTCTTACCAAACTCACACGTAACATGCTTGCCTCTAAACAAATTCACCCGAAACAAGCTTGCCCCTAACCAAACTCACCTGAAGCAAGCTTGCCCCTAACCAAACTCACTCTTAATAAACTTACCTCCTGTCAATCATGCATGATTATGCTGCTCTCAATTTTCAGGGTACACAAGTTAAAGACGTCATTATAAAAGAAGATGCACCAAAATTACTCTTACTGGAAAAGCATGCAGATTACATAGAACTTTATGGAAAGAAAGAAGATGACTATGTAAGCTATAAGTATTGTTTAATAAATTTTGAATCAAGTAAGTTTATATACCAATACTAGACCTAATAATGATAATAAGTAAAATTATCAAATGTTTGGAATAATAATATGTATTTGTAGCACCTCACATTAAAGTAACCTTATAATTAATAATAATTTGAACATTATTATAGCTCTTCTCACAGTCGCAGGGATCTCAAATAATAATTAGATGGACTCAGTTGCACACTTTAAATAGAGGACTCATCCATAGTGTGTTTTGTTTCACCCACCATTACCTAGAATGTGTTAAATACAGTCTTTAGCAGGTTTGTGTGTTTGTTAGGATAGAGCAGGTTTTCTGTTCAATAAAAATTCTCTTCCCAGTCATTACATGATCTGTTTAGCTTACGCTCTTGTCAATATAATAGACAAAATATTTATGCCCTATTGAGACTAGCATCGCATTGCAATCGGTTGTAGAAATTGCGACACCCAATTGCAGTTCACAATCGCGTGTGAAAGTTCACCTATACTAGTCGATATGTAATCAATATCGCAATTGTTACCCGATGCGATTGGTTGCTACTTCCGATTACTACGGAATCCAATCACAACAAATTCCACAGGCACTGATTGGCTGAGGTCAGTCAACATAGGCCTAGCCACCAGAGGCCTAGTACTGTTTGTATTAAGTTTCTACTTAACTGTATCAATAAAATTAAATATAAAAATTAATACTTTTCTCTTCAGGAGTTTGTTATGACAGAGTTTCTGCGAATGAATGGTGTTTACTGGGGCATCACCGTCATGGACTTGATGAACCAATTGGAGAGAATGAACAAACAAAACATCCTACAGTTTATATCGGACTGTCAGCATGAATGTGGTGGCATAAGCAGTAGTCTTAAGCATGACCCCCACCTCCTCTATACCCTAAGTGCAATACAGGTATTTCAGTGATATATTCCTGCTTGCTCTATTATGCAATTATAGTAAAGTTCTGAGGAACCTATAGAAAATAGAGGGAAAAAATAAAATTGCATTCAGCCCTACTGGCTTGAGCCATTTTTAACAGGAAATAATGGCTCCTAAGGCTTGTATTTTCTATAGTGTCCAAAATTACTTGACAATAATTGCTTTGTAAGTCAGTCACCCTGTTTATGTTTGTACTGTATTTAGGTAATTTTATAATCAAACTGCTAGTTGCAGTCAGCTGTGGTGCCAGAAATTTGCCGACGAGAGGTCCGACGTGTACGACGGAGGATCGGAATCAAGGGCCCCGATGAAGCCTCGGTCAACGGCCCAGAATTTTAAAAAATCCCTGGTTGGGTTCACATGGAGAGTTTTTATGGCTTATTTATGGCTTATTTATTTATTTATTATTTTTTATTATTTATATTATTTATTATTATTATTTATTATTATTATTATTATTATTATTATTATTATTATTTATTTTTATTATTATTATTATTATTATTATTATTTATTTTTATTATTATTTTTATTATTTATTTTTTATTATTATTTTTTATTATTTTTTTTAAATTATTTATTATTTATTTATTTTTGGCTTATTTATGGCTTAAAATGTGCTTTTAGACCACAATATTGGGGGGGGAGAATAATGTCCCCTGTCCCCCGCTAGTGCCACCACTGGTTGCAGTGACCGATTGCTCAGTGAACAATACATATACTGTGCGTGTGCATTAGGTAATAGATGCCTTGCCCAGAGACTCAAGCCTCTTCAAACAAATTCAATAAAATTAATTTCAAATACAAAATTATATTATACACATATATTAAACAAGTGTATTTTTAAAGTGATTGACAATAAAAAAACATGTTTTATCTTCTGTATAACAATTATATATTATCTTTCTAATTATTTTTTCAGATTTTAACAATTTATGAAAGTTTAGAAACTATAAACATAGACAAAGTTGTTTCATATGTGAGTGGGTTGCAGCAGGAGGACGGTTCATTCATGGGGGACAAGTGGGGTAAGTCTTCCCCTTCACTATAATGTAGTATCAAACAGTAGGCCTACTAATGCATGTGATGTGATTACCTATGCCAATTATCTCCCTTCCAAAGTGGGAGACTTTTATTCATGGGTGACATGTGGGGCAAGTCTTACCCTTCACTATGGTATCAAACAGTACTCATATACAGTGTGACTATCTATAACAAACATCCCTCTTCCAAACAGTGTTGTATCTACAGTATGGGTGCGCAGGGGGCTTGTGCCCCCTGTCGTTCCCTCCCTCCCCTCCCCTTAAAAATGTCTGAAGCGTAATTGAGAGTATATTACCCTGTGTATAATGAAACTCTTTGAGAAACAGGGTTTTAAATACAATGTATACAGTGTTAAAATGAATAAATAACATAATGAAGACAAGCATTTCTCTATAAACGTTTATTTATGATATGATATAGGACCTATGATAGGCGTACTGAACTACCGGAATATGTGAGCTATATAATATGGGAATAGTCATTTTTTATAAGCGCCGCTCTTGAATATAAGCCGCTCTCGAATAAGCGCAGCACTGAAGCCTCCAAAAATTGTATAAGTGCTGCGAAGCTTATTCAAGAATTTACGGTAATGTTGAGATTTGTAAAATAATTTTTCCAAAAAAATATGGCCTGTAGATGGATGGCTTCAGGCTCTGCAAATTTCATAATTTTTAATTGCATGTAAAGAGCTATTAAGTAAAATGAAGGTGCTTCCCTGAATTTTGTAAATTAATCATGCTGATATTTATTTTATTTCTATTATTTATTTAAGCACATGGGCTATCTTCATAAACTTCAGTTATGTTATTTTTAGAGTGTAATCAATTTTGAAAGATAATTCTTTTATTTTAATAAAGGAGAGATTGACACAAGGTTTTCATTCTGTGCAGTTGCCTGTTTGTCCCTTTTAGTAAGTATTTGAGTCCCTGCTATTTTTTTATCTGTAGTAAACATTGTTGTTCATCTATGCGATGATCGTAATTGATTAAAAAAAAAAACAATGCCATGTTTTATTCAAAATGTGTGTACAATGATTCAGATCATAAAGCATATTAACAGTAGGGAAAAAAGATCTTGTAAGTATAATTCTCTTTATAACTTTCGATATATTTCTATGTTATTAAGCAATTTATATTTTTTCTTTCTATAGAATAGGCTCGATGCTATTAATGTTGACAAGGCTGTTGAATATGTTCTATCTTGTATGAATTTTGATGGTGGATTTGGGTGTCGACCAGGTTCAGAGTCTCATTCTGGCCAGGTAAGTTTCTGCATGCTTAAAAGCAGCTTTCTTGTGACTGAAATTAAGTCTCACCACGAAATGAGATGCTTCACTGGTGAAATCATAATGAGATATTCACCAAGATAGGTCAAAGTCCAAATTTTTATTCATCAAATTAAAAATGGTATAAGAAAGTACAGTAAAAAATTAAAATTGACGAAAATGAACCTTCAAGAAACCCAATCGGATTTGTAAGAAAAGACAAAAATACTATAGTGTTAATAATGATAAAGGAAACAATAATAATGATATTATGATGCTACTATTATATTGATGGATTTAGAGTGAATTTAAGGTCTTGCTTTCCAATCCCATGGTTCTGTGTTCAATTCCTGTCGCAGCAACTCCACTCTCTAAGCTTTAAGTCTATGTATAGCATCTTGTGTGTAATATTTGTCTTGTGAAGAGATTGAAATTTTAAAGGGTGTTTAAGTTTGCTGTTTGGAAAATCCAAATCCCTAAAAGTTTGAATAGTAGAAGTATAACAAAAGATAATTATGCTAATAGTGTTGAGAGTATATTGATTACTGTATAATGTGTTTGCTCATTTGATTCTTTATGTTTTCAGATTTACTGCTGTTTAGGGATGCTGTCCATTACCAAGTCCCTTCATCATGTGAATACTGACATGCTAGGCTGGTGGCTCTGTGAAAGACAACTCCCCTCAGGAGGGCTCAATGGTAAGTTATATTCAGTAGGCCTAGTTGATTATCTCAACCAACTGTATCTGCCTTCTTCATTGTCCTCTTGTTCAGTGGTGTATCTAAGAGTCTTGAAATGGAGTTTGATGGTGGGGGGTGGGGTGAAAAAGTGAAGTTGTGGGGCTCAATGATTAACTGAGAGGGTGCTAGCTTGCAAAATATGATGATATGAGGTGATTTTTATCTACTTGAGCGTGATTTTTTTTTCAGTGGCATGATTTGTTTTTAGTCGCCTAAACAAAATTTTTTTAGGGGGACGGGTGCTCCTGCGCACACCAAGATATGCCACTGCTCTTGCTGTAATGCCCATGGATTTGTACACAATTCTATAATACAGTATTTATACTCTATCCATAACTGTTCTCTTAGAAACATTTTCTATTGAAAATCTTGTTACTGAACTATGTACATGTACATACTTCATGTTTTAATTGATTATGTCTACTATTAATAGGCAGGCCAGAGAAGCTACCAGATGTATGCTATTCCTGGTGGGTGCTGGCATCATTGAAGATCATTGGCAAGATTCACTGGATTGACAAGGAAAAGCTTGAGAGCTATATTCTAGCCTGCCAAGATGATGAAACAGGTGGCTTTGCTGATAGACCAGGCGACATGGTATGTACACTCTTAATTTATATTTGGTTGTACCTGTATGGAAATTAAGTAAGTTATGTGGTGTTAAGATACAGAAAATGATCACCAGTAACATCATCCATCATTAAACCATAAATGTTTGTATTTTATGTACCACTGCTAATGCCAGTGTGCTACTGAAGTTATTACTGCTGCTGCTACTACTACTGCAGTATAAATTTTCTATTTTTTGTGGTATTACTGATACTGCTTCTATAATATTTAATGTGGAGTCTAGGCCTAAATTTGGATTTCTTAGTGAATACTGTGAAGATAATCCTTTAAATGTGTCAGTGCATCCCATATTTTATTTATTTATTTTTTTTTTGCAATTGCCACCTGGCAAACAGTGAGAAATCATTCATATGTACAATTTTCTACCGCAGATTTTACATGCAATAACATCATAGCTGATTTTGACACATTCGCTGTCTACAGTAACATTGCTATAATACTGTATCAACACTGATTAATTTCTAGTCCACAATTGTGAGTTGTTTTTTTTTTAATCTTCCACAGGTTGATCCATTCCACACATTGTTTGGTATTGCTGGTTTGTCACTCCTTGGCAGCTACGCCGACAAAATCAAGACTGTTAACCCAGTCTACTGCATGCCAGAATACGTGCTAAGAAAACACAATATACATCCGCAGTTACTATGATGAACAAACTTACATAAAAAGACAATTTTCATTGCTAATTTTTGTGTCAAATGTGGATTGTTGTTAGGGTGGTCCATTGATCCTTGAGTAGAGATCATAAGTCCGGTGTACAATTCATTAGTAAAACACACTTAATAGATTTGCTGAACATGTGTACAAAAAAGAGCACAGTACAGTATACTGCCCTTCAAAAAAATCCGCAGGAGAATCTCCCAGCATACTGCCCAATTTACCAACAGATGCACCTGACTGGAAATAAGTCTAGACTTTAGTGGGTTTTCCATGGTGGTTTACACTAAAGAACTTTTATCCAAATAAATCCTTATTAGGTGAATGCGGCAACATTGTCATCTGTTTCTCTTCTTTTAAATAGAAAACTTTTAAAATCTATTGAACTAACATTTTATAATATCACTTTATTTAATACCTGGATAACCTCCATCTACTTTGAAAAACTTGAGCTGATGTATCTATTGTTATCAGCTACCTTTCCATGTCAGGTAGTGCTTATTAAACAATGTCTTTACATATTGATAATGAAAATAATTGGTGATTCGCTTCACGAGTGGATCACCTCTTGTTATCGTCAGGATCATCATCTTTTCTTTTATTTTTTCTTTCTCGCCATTCTTGTTCGCACGATATCTAAAAAAAAAATCTCAATTTGATGACATCATCATGGTCAAAATGAATGTTTTTCTAACCTCTCCATACCTCTTTCTTTAAAACTTGGACGGCCCGAGAGAGGGCGGCAGACTTGATATTTTCCTGCACAGTTTGAAAATCCTGACTACAGTATTTTTCCATATATCACTTTTAAGCAGATCACCTAACTTGTCCTCAGTGATGAGTTCAAATCTAGTTATAATATTCAACTTGATAGCACTTTGCTACACACCTAAGTATTTTAAAGCTATAGAGACTAAGTGAAATAACCTACCCATTCATTTTCTGTTTGGTCCAAAAAAGACATTTTGAATGATGATAATAATATGTCAGTAATATAAATTTTAAAATATATATTATGAAGAATGTATATGATGATGACGATGATGTGATAAAGGATAAAATAATGTAAAACTAGGCTGTAACAAGGACATTTGGTATTCCATATATACTGTACCGTAATTAATTTTTGTTTTACTGTTTATGTCAACATGATGATATTTTACATTTATAAACACTAAATACCTCCTTTTCAAACCTAGATTACTGTAGTATTTTAAAACAGTTGGCAAAAAGATAAATAAATAAGCAAATTCTAAAGCCTTGTCATGATATTTGGAACTTAATATTGGATACAATAGTTTAAATAAAGCTGACTATAATAACTTTATGAAATAATGCTAAAGTAAAAGATGATGGCAGATGAATTTCAGATCCCAAAACATTTGTTTTTTATTCAACAGGAGCGATTTCTATACAAATGATTACCACTATTATTGTAACACAAAATACTCATCTGTTCTTAACCTCATTATTTTGTGTAAAGACAGATGATGCCTGTCCAGAATGCAATTTAAAAAAATGGCATGATCTTGTAATTACATATTTATGGTATAATACGATGATTTGGCCAATTAAAACAGTATCTGACAGGATTTTAATTCATGCCATACCCCTGTTTTTCTTGTTACTATTGTATCAAATAGTAGTAAACACTCATTATTATGAGAAATTGTAAATTTATAAATGAAATAACAGACCTGTGAAGAATCATGGTGAGTGATAGATCTCAAAATCTATTAAAAAAGCTGTTTCAAAGCATGAACAATTATACTGTTCATAATTACATACGTTTTGTCACTTCTATAAGGAACTAACACAAGGAACTAGAGCTGAATGTGAATGTAACAGTGGCTAGATTTTAGGGATGAGTCATCTCAAGTATGTAAAATGTACCAATAATAATACTGTAATAAACAAACTTAATATTTGGAAGATATAAATGGAGGGAATTAATTTTAAAAAAGTAATAGAATTGATTTAATACCAATAAATTTATAAATACCAGCACGGATTAGCAAGTACACATGTTTATACTACAGTATTTATAGACCTTGAAATTATTTTAGTTTGTAGGCTTTAAAAATTAATTACTGTAGGCTTACTGTTAAACATCATTTTCATTTAATTATTCATTTATCTAAACTAATTCCTCCATGTTTATATAAGTTGTTTGCTATACTGTATATTTTTGTATTCCTTAAGAATCCTTATTTACAGTGGCATATCCTGGAAATTTGGTGGGGGGGGAGCGTGCAGCGGTGAAGTGTTTTGAGGGGAAAATTTGGTGACTGAAGTAATATTAACCACTTTAGCATGATTTTTTTGCATACAACATCTTCAATGAGGGGCATGCGTGTCTAGACATTTATTAATCCAACTGAGGCGAGGCAGCGATACCCAGGTTTATGTCATTAACAAATGATTGGTTGCCATGCATAAACTAGCACAGTACTGTGTGGGAATTTGCAGGATGAGTGTCCCTTCACATTAGTTATGCTTTTAAAGCATGGCGAAAACAAATAATATCTGAACATTTTTTTTACTGCAGTGCATTGCAGGTTGAAGAAACTGAATATTTTTGTAGCATTTCCTTTGTAATTTTCATTATTGTTTCATTCGATATTCATCTTTCCAAATTTCATAGTTCCAACCTCCAAAGAATGTGATACTGCCTTACATACTTGTGAACCCACGGTTTCTTTAAGGTTGTTTTCCACAAGGCGAATTTATTCACGTGAATAAATTTGCCTAGTAGAAAACAGCCTTTAATTTTCGTTTTAACTAACAAACTTAGCTGCACACAAGGTTTACAGATAATACACAATGTGACACAAAATTGTACTATTGATTCACACAGCATACTTTGAAATAAAAAGTAATGACAAGGGGCCATCAATTTTTCCATCATTTTCACCAGAGTACAAAACATGCTACAGAAAGGGGGTCAACAGTGTATGTACTTTTTATGAAAATGAAAAAAAAAATCTCAAAATGACAACTCATCATCATTTTATTATGCACTGTACTATTTTAACACAGAAAGAGTGTTTTGTACTCTCTTAAAAATGATTTATATGCAAGGCTGGTTCTATTGGTGAACATAATCCCACAACTCATACAACAATAAATCAAAGTATGAACTTTGAAAGCATACATAATGTATACACATTTCTACTGTACAGTTTTCTTCACCTGTGAAAAAGTATAATTATAAGCATTTAGATCACCGGTTCTCAAGCTAAGGGTCGCGACCCAAGATTGGATTTTGAATATCTCCTGACCAATTTGTTTCTTATCCTCAATCATTTGCTGTTGTAACATGGGAACATCCTAAAGCAACATTTAAATTGGTTACTTTAATTTTGCAAATGACCTGTTTATAGTGCTTTTTAACGTCCCACAAAGTGGGTTGCAGCAAATTGTATTGACATTTGTTTGGCTCATTGGCCAAAAAGTTTGAGAACCAGTGACTTAGAAAACATCTTTTCTTAAAGATGAACAACATGAAACAATTAATACCTGTTGATTGCTCTCATGAATTTTCAAAACAACTGTTGATTTTTAAAATATGAGTAAGTTTTCAGCATGATTGGATTGTACAATTTTGGCTTTTTAAAAAATCAATTATTAAATATTCTATTTTTTCTCATGAATTTAATATGTATATTTAAAAGATTGACCCTTCACATGTAGCTTGTGATTGTTGGCCCCCTGTTACAGTATCAAATCTAGTCAATCATTTTAATGTTTCAGGGCAAATTTTAATATTTCATCTGAATCATTAAAAGTGAAATTCATTTTATGTATTTCATTTCATACCATTAACTTTGTACTTTTTACTTTTAAACTTACATGTCAATACTTCAATTAAATTGATTTTGAGTTGATAATGAAAAATCCATCCAACCACAGAAATTTTTGCTAACATCAAAAATATTAGTAAATAGGCAAGATTAAACACTTCAGTTTAGACAAAAATATAGACATCTCAATAAGATTGTTCTAGTAAGTCATTTTGTTGTCACCAGTGCCACCCGCACTCATTACTGGATATCTGGAGACTATCAGTTGACAGATTTATTTAATGAAAAAAACTGGATATGTCAGACTAAAAATTGCATCTAAAATAACTATCTTTTGCACCGTTTAATTGAAAATTTTAGAACAGACAACAAAAAATTGTTTTACGTTGCTATGGTTCAATTTAGTTGACATCTGTGACTAGCATTGATATCTGTACCATGTTACATTAAGTAGTAGGGTTATAGTTTTTAGGTCAAAGGTTGTTTGCACAGTTGTAGGTCATAGGTTTGCAGGGTTATAGTTTGGGTCAAGGTAGTTATAATCCCACAATCCTGCTGTAAAGCTGGTGTAATCCTTATCTTCAAAGTGTTTCCTGGTATTGGCAGGTTGAATAGCTTCCATACGATGCGTCACTAAGTGGGTACCTGTTGTAAATTTACTGAAAGAATAATTTTTAAAAAATAGCAATTTAGGATTTAGTGCTACTATTACTTTGGTACCTAGGAGAAACTGACAACTGGGCTTCCTAATTCTGATTCAATAACACTCTTTAGTATCGGATGTTGGAGAATTGACAGAGGTCAAACTATAAAGCTCTAAAGTTTAAATTACCTGTCAATACATATTTGACACAGGTCAACTGAGACTTCTTGAGGGCAGTCTTTACAATGCCACCTAGTTCCAGTGATTGGCTCACAGCCACACTTATCGCACTTGAATCCAAGATGCTCACCCTTACCCTACAAGATAAAAATCAAAACTGAGGCCTATAGCATTATGTTGATACATCACCCCCACCATCATCATCATCATCACAACCATCACCACCATTATCATCATCATTTAACATTTTCACGATTAGCAGGTTTATAGCAACCACTCCCATAATTCAGTCTCGTACTGTACTCCTGCATTTTATTCACACAGCTATATTTCCAAGAAAGTGCATACTTTGCAACTTGGATGGTTTTGCCAAGTACCGTAATGTCAAACATGCCGTATACCGAGTATCAATTAGATTTATACTCTTGGTTTGTTATTTTTTAATGATCTGTCGCTCAGCAAAAAACCTCTCTGAGGACTTCTAGATTACTTTTTATGTCAGTATAACATTTCTTTAATCTCAATTTTTGCAAAAAAAAATAAAAAATAAACACACCCACTGTCTTCCTAGAATACATGTAATAATAATAATACAAAATAGTGTGTAAATCTCACCTTTTCTAGCATTTCATTTTTAAGCTTTGTTAGTCTCATTAATTCATGATATTCCTCTGTGTCACGTAATTCTGGGGGCATACTCTCACCCTAAGAAAAAAGAACATCAAATTAAAAAAAAATTTAAAAAAATCCAGATAGGCCTTTGAATTAGCACATAAAAATAATAGCAATAACAAGAGTAATAATCACAACAATAAATAATATAGGGATTAATAAGTCTTCTTGTTGGCCCTGTTTTACTACTACTAAAACTGCTAATACTCAAAATATATCTCGGACAGGTCTACAAAACATCATCTCAAGATTCAACTTGATTTATTATCATTAACCAAAAAAAAAGCAATCATTGTTGCACAAATAGATCTTACTAATACAGATTTTTCCATTTCAAAACTATTGTCTAGGCTTCTGAAATCATCGTCTTCATCTGCCATGTACACAGGGGGCTTGTAGGCCTGCATAAATGTGGAGTTTTGATGCAGGAGAGGCCTAGTAAAATGATGCATCCTACGATTAGTCTGCAGAGGTAAAAATCAATATAGATATTGAGAAAATGACATGCTACAAATGATTATTATTACAATTATTATTATATTTTTGTATGTCAGTTTCTGACTTACATAATTTTAGAAATAATAAAGTTACAATTACAAATTGCATAATGCAAGAATAATCTTCTAGTGACAATCAAGCAAACAGAGCTCACAATTGTGGATTTGGAGCGGTTTTCATTCAATGGTTTAATACAATATCATACCTTTTTAGTAAGGTACATGTTAAGGTTTGGCAATCTTCCAGGTACTGGTAATCCTGCCTTACTCAGTTTGATGAAATACTTTTGTACACGACTGGCAACCTGTAAAAAGAAAGTCAAAATTGATCAAACTGGGTTATGATACACAGACTGTACTGTCACCACAAAATGCAAATTGGGTGTTCTTCTAGCACCATATCCAGTGGCAACCACAAAAATACTGTATAAATTCATTAATACCCGGTAGTCTCCCCTTGTGAGGTTACTTTTGTTAGTTAAATTTTACTTGTATTTTAACCTTACTGTATCTTTTTTCGTAATGAGTCTTAATGGTAAAGTGCTGCTTTACAGTACAGTACTTGAGGCCAAGTTCAGACTAGGTGGATAAACCCGGCTCAACTCACTGGGTTTATCCACCTGCCAGTCTGAACTAAGTGGCTTATCTCAAGCCGGGCTGTGTTCCCATAGTAACTAGGCCTGGCTTTAATCGCTAGGGGGGGTCTTGCATTGACTTCAGGTGACGAAATGACCAATCAGCATTCAATTACTACGCTGTGAGCGAGCGTACGTTTCACGAGCAATGTTTTAAAACACGTTTCCTGGTTACGGTTCATTATTATGCAAATTTTTGCCTGGCTAAACCCGCTAGTCTGAAGGCCCGGCAAAGTTGAGACGGGCTTAATGTTGAGCTGGGCTTAACTCAAGTCTGAACTTAGCCTAAATATTTTAATGTATACTGGGTTAAGCGATTATTTAATATCCATATTTTTTTAATGTTTGTTGCGGGTAATGTTAATGCAGGATTCCAAAATTGTGCTAATGTATTAGGTGTCCTTTCTTGATTTCATTGGTTACCATTCGCCATCATTCCAAGAATACTGTATATTAAAGAGATTACCTTCTAGAATTATAAAAACAGTTTTGTATTTTCACCTGTTGAGGAGTTCTGTTGCCCAAGGCATTGGCAACCTTCTCCCACCGTCTGGCTTCCACTTCCTCTTGGGGAAACCGCACAAGACACTCTTCTAATCGCCGTTGTTCCTCAACTGTCCAAAGTTGATTGAAAGTTCCACTTTTAGTGCCATCTAAAGGGCGCCCTCTAACTACTTCCTCCTCCTTTATAAAAATAATAACGATTCTTTGAATTTACATTAAGAAAGGTTTATATTATATAAATTAAAGCAGACAGCACTTTTAAGATTATGAGAAGCAATTATTTGTGCACACTTTAAATAATAATAATAGTACTGTAATAATTATAGTAATAAAAATAATCATCACTAATGCTGAAACCTCTTGCATATACAGTACAGTATTTCACTTCAAAACACTTCTCCAATCAGAGCGATTGTTAGCCAGTATGTGTATAGGCCTATTTACAGAGCACCTGTTATCACAAATTTTTACAGAATTTGTAAGCAACGATCGCCATCAAAAGAGCTAATGCTGTGTTCCAGCTCACCAGTGATTATGACTTTTAAACCATTCCATTGCATCCAGTAATTCATGACTTGTAAGCAACACTGAATTACGATTATAAACATTGAATAAATACTTTAAACATATTCTGCTGCAGAAGTCTACTATTCAACCTTAAAATTTTACTAACATTACAAACCAAACTGCATTTCTCAGAACCAAATACTATCAATTAAGATTTGTAGCGTACATATTTTATAGATTCACATTCTGGTCAACTCACCTTTTTAATAGACGGAATAGTCATAGCATCCCTACTTGTAGAAGGGCTGTCCAATGAAGGGGAGGCTGTCAAACAATAATAAAATCTAGATTATGAACAGAAATATAATAAATTTCGATGGAATTAATTTTAGTATATACTATTGATACTTGATAGATTAAGGAATTGATGATTCAAGGATGGACCGCTGAACTAGCCAGATGCATGGAGGACCAAGATGACTGGAAGAGCTGCTCGTAGCCCATCCAAAAATGACTTAGTAGCAGCAGTGATGTTTGGCACCCGCTATTGATTATAATATTAATAATTTGATTATAATATTAATAATCATAATAACAATAACAATAGTGGCATTTATCACCTAATAATGATAATAATAATAATGACAATAGATATGTTTATAATAATAATAATAAATAAGGGTTAACATGATAAAATGATTTTTGCTATCCAATAATGATCTAATATGTTTTAATTTTAGTAAACTGTAACAATGGTTTGTTGTTGGATGCCTACAAAAAAGATGGTTAAAGTCAACCAAAAACAAGTCACCTGTTGTAGTCTTTGATGCCCTGGTGTTGTGAACTTCTGTAGCGAGTTTCAGTAGCTCAGTGCCTTCTAGTTTTTTTATATATTTCTCCCAATTGACGTTTGGTATTGTTACAACACGCTGTGCAACTGGTAGATCTAGGTCAACCTGAAAATTATCAATATATTATTTTTACTTAGAAACAATATTTATTTATTTATTTTATTTCTTTATGCTGTATATGCACATAAAACAAATACAAGAAACATCATATTTAAAGGATAAAAATATACTGTTGTTCCAAGTAGTCAGGGGGCCGTTTCATGTTATTAAACATCTGTCTCTTATACACATCTAGATGTGTATAAGAGACAGCACTAAAGCTTGCAACCAGCAAAATTAAAATTAAAGAACTGAAGTCTGCAAAGAGATAAATACTTTATTTTATGCAAGCACTTTCCTAATGTACTGTCTAAAAATCACTTTCAATGTATTTGTGTGGATAGAATGGAACGAATAATTAAATAGTACAATGATGCCCTTTTTGTTATTCCCTTACCTGGAGAAATGATAACTACTTGTCTTCATTCTCTGATAGTACAAGTAGATTTAGCCACCCAGATTCTGCTAAATTTTCCATCAATTAACCTCCAACACTTCACACCCAAAATTCAACAGCTTGCTAACATGAACATAGACTAGTCTCCTAGGATGACTGTAACCTTACCTTATTCTGCAAGTTCTCAACAAATTTGATAGGGTCACCCAATGCACTTTTCTGGCATTCTGCTAGTCTTTCAAGACCTGTAATTGCATGCTGCCTTTGTGCTTCTAAGGTGGCTAGGGTCCGAAGTAACATTCGATAACTGTAAAGACAATACAATATAATGAATGAAATACAGTAAGGTGTATGCTATATATACAAATAACAGCTTTAGTAAAATTATGGATATTATTATCCAAACTGACACAAACAGAAATAAAACAAATCTTCAAAGACACCATCCACCTCTGCTTTACTTAATGTATAGTATTATATTTGTGAATGTGTATTATGTGTGTTGTTTTACTTCATCAGCTACGGTGCTTTTTCTGATTCATATTTAATTAGTAACACAAGATATAAATGAACCATACTCCTTATTTCCTTTTAATGCCGTATGATCAGATTCAAAGTAAAATGGTTCACTCTCTTCAGGTTCCTCCTGATACCAAGACAGAGCCTGGTACCCAACCTGATCTTCTTCGAACACTCTTCCACATTCCTCCTCATCTTGTGTTTTCATGCAGATGGATTGCTCATCCTCCAGAGATTTTAATTCCACATTGTCCTCAATAATGCTTTCTGATAATGTCCTTGACTGGTCATCCATTGTTTTCTGGTTCTTTGCATCTTCTTCCTCCACCTCTGGCTCCTTTCCTGAAAGCCGCCGACTCCTTCTCGAGGTTGAACATTTTAGTTCTACATGTTCTTTTGAGGTTGTTTCTTCTATTAAAGATTCTACAGATATTTCTGGAATGTTTTTCTTGGAATTGTGTGCTATTTCTTCTTTGTTGCTTTGCTGCCCTGAATTGGCAGAATTGTTTGTGTTATTCTCAACAGAGCTGCCAAACATGGCATTATCAAAAGCTCTGTTAAGATCTTTTGCAACACCAGCCTTACACTGTCTTTTGTTTAATGGCTCTAAGTTATTCCTTAGCCCATCTATGTTATCGTTTGGCTCAGTATCTTTGCCAGATGCAGACCGTTTTCTTGGAGAACTTCTAGTTGATACAACCATAGCCAGGCTCTCTGTGTTGGATTTATTCAAAAATACATCCTGTCTAGAATGTTCATCTGTTGCACTTTCTAATTTAACTGAATCTCCACTTTGTTCAAAATTTGTACCTTTTACCGGTGTTTTAGATCTTCTTGGGCTAGTTCTTTGAGGTGATAATGGCTCACTTTTGATTCTAATCGTTGGTTTATTTGAGATATCTGAATCTACTGATGATAGACATTTGTGTCTGAGTTGCTTAATGTGCTTTGGAGGTCGACCTCGTTTAGGGATTCGTGCCGCCTCGTCAAGCTTTGACTTTTCAAGTTCAGCTTGATTTGTGGCCATACTAATACTACTATCCTTTGCATAGGTGTGGAGGGCTTCAACAGTTTTCTCAATCTGTGTTAACCTGGTTGGTCTTTGAACCACACCAGCTACAGTTTTACTGGGTGATGGTGTAACTACAACATCTGACAAAATTGGGTCAATATTGTTCTCTGTGGCACCCACAACCAAATGAGATTGTCTTTCATTTTTTTGACAAGTATTTGATAGTATAGTATCTCCTAAGGATTCCTCTGATTGGTTTAGCATTCCACTAGAACGAGTCCTCCTCCTTGAAGTGGGGTTAAAATAACCACCATCACAATCAACATTATCCCCTTTTTCTAACGATTTTCGATTTTTCATTATTTTCTTATCTTCTGGAGTAACTTTTCTTTCATCTTTTTTAGAAGTCTTTTGGTTGTTTGATTTTGAAGGTCTGTGGTCGACCTCTTGCAGCCTGTCAATTTTTGATACAGGGTCCTGGCCATTGTTTTTAGCATATTCTGAAACTTTTGCTTTTGGTGATCTTCCTTTTAAATCCTCATCTACAGAGTCAACAAGCTTTAAGGAAGATCTTGTTCGAGCATTTTTTTCTTTCTTTTCTGAGCCACTCCCATCAATCTCTGGCGTTTTCTGACCGGTGCCCCGTCTTGTTCGAAGTTTCGAGGCACTCATGATGACTATGTCAACAAGGGCATCTAAAAATAGAAACATATATAATGCTTTTAAAAATAAAAAGATATTTTTTGCACTTTTGCTTTAGAATGAAAAAAAAAACAACAATAAAACCACATTACAATTTATATATTAGGAGGCGTAAATGTAGGCCTAGGCTAGGCCTACCACAACAAGCATTACGACTGCATAATAATTAATGTCCAAATTATATAAACATTTTATAATCATGCAAATAAATTATATCCATATGAAGAAACTTGCATACTTCACAATCAAAATACAATTAACCAAAAAATAAGGTAATTTCATAATTCGTTAAGTTAAAGATCACTTCCTCATAATAGTAATAATGCTGAGCCTGTCGACTTGGGTTCAGTCATACCGCCAGCGCTACAGCGACAAAATTACTACTATTGTACAGGCAGAGGAGTACAGCATTCGTGGCTGTTTATACATTTATGACAACATATTTGGTCTCTATTTGCAATTGAATCGACGTATATTATATATTGTATCTACTTACAACTATTTTTTATCACATAAACACTATAAATTTGACAAAATCGAAGGATTTCTTGAACAATTTGCACCCTCTATTTTCTAAATTACGGGCGCTGCCATTTTGGTATATGCGATTAAACATTAGGGGCCGTTTCATGTTATTAAACATATGTTTTACCAGTAATTGAATTTGATACACATATAATAATACAGCAATTCTTTATAATTATAAATTTTATCATAATAAATTACTGCGAATATATTTACTAAAATAATAAAGTACCAAACAAATGTATATTATATTGAGGTTTACCTAGGAAATGGAAATGGATTATTCTAAACTAAATCTTTGACGGTCAAAGTTGAGTGTGTATTGAAATTGAAAACGTGCATGTGTCTCTCCGCGACGATGATGTAGGTTTGTGGCTGGCTATATAGGAACAGATTAAATCATGATTTTCGCAATTATATAAAATCCACGATAACGTACATAAGTTCACACACTTTTATATACATTTTGATACTAAATCCGTACAGAGTAAGTGGCTGTGGGTATACATATTTTACCTGTCTTTTGCAACGATTGCCTGACCCGGTCCCTGACTGTGCTTTTTTTTTAGCTAGGCCGCCTGGCCCTACTAGCATAGGCTTTACGCCTAGGCCAGGTTAGATAGAGAGGCTAGTCTAGGTAGGTATGCCTTCCGGGCTTACTACTACGCCAGCTTGTTAGGCCTACCATATCATTGCCTTGATTGGTGAGTTTAAAAGTGACATTATTAGTGGCTGTTGCACCAGGGTCCAGTGAGTCTTAACCTGTATTCTTAAAACAAACATTAGCTGTCCTGTAGGCCTCCTTAGCATAGTATTTAGTAGGCCTAGTTCAAACTAAATGAAAATAAATTTCGACTAGGCCTAGCATTGGCTATGGTTAAGTCATGTACACTTCAACTAAACTGATACACCGGGCCAATTGTTTAAACTGTAAAGTAAAGCCTGCAGGTGGAATCCTGCACGCAAAAATTAGGCCTAGAAGTCGGTCCGCGCATTTTGGAAAATAGGGTCAATTTCTACGCAGAACATTGCCGAAAATTAGGCTTTGATTGAACTACTGAAATCTTAATATATAACCAATGTATTATCCAGTAGTTAGAACTTTCCTTGCAAATTTAAGCTAGTTATTGCGGTATCATCTGCGCAATTAAAATATTCTACAGATGGCCGAGCCCTAGGGTCAGACTAAATAGCCCCACTAAGAACGTGCTTTCTGTAACTCATGATAGAGTGAAAAGAATAAAAATGGTTGTATGTCTAGGTCTGATGTGTATTCGGTGTGTTCAGTATAAGTAATATCAAGTTATAGCTTCCACATTGCGAAATTAACAACTAGCTGCAAATGTTGATAGTTGTCATATCATCCCTAATAAATTATACAGTGTGTTAACAATTATCTGTACATTAATTTTTGTACTGCTTTGATATTCTTCTAGATGGCAGAGACTGATTTATTGAAACGCCTCACTGAACGCAATATGTACTTCAATCAGATGGTTAATCTTATTCCAGCAAAGTTTTATTTTAGCAATGAAGATAAACAGACTGGGTTTTATGGCAAAGAAAGTTCAGGTACTGATATAATATAACAAAAGTTTATCATATGTACTGCAATTTGACAAATGTTCTAATATTTGCCAGTTATTGGTTTGGGGGAGTGATTTGATTCATAAAGAAAATTCTGTCATTTTCAAAGATTTGAAATTTAGACAGCAAGATTGCTACAATTCCAGTATTATTTTTATTGCAATCACCCAATACAATAACATGACCACCTTGCGTTTGCATTACAAACTGAAACAGAGAAATACTGTAATAGGAAAACACACAAGTAGAATATTTATAAATGCTCTGATAATAATATCAGATGCTTACTACCAAGAGATAGCTCCAGATTGTAGGGTTTCAAGGAGAGAATATTAGGGTTTTATGGTCTAAAAATAATAGTAATTTAAAAAAAAAAAAGAAAACTATTAAATCAAGTAAGTCTATCCTGATATAGACCAAGGAAACTAAAAAAACCCCTCAAAACCAGTGTCATTACATATCTCACCTGACATCTACATACCCAACAGTAGGTTATCTCAAGATCTCTTGGATCTTTATTAAATACCATTGATTTGTTGCTTTTCATAAGGAAAAGTTCCGGAGCATAAAGTACAGAAGACGAAGAAGAACAAGAAACAAAAACTTGATCCAGCTCAGCATAAGAGTGTCACAAAGATCCAAGGAGAGATTGCAGAGAAAGAAGAAAGGGAACGTCTGGAGCAGAGCAACAAGAATGAAGCTGAAATGGCACAAGTAGATGATGAAATAGACGGGGATGATGAGATAGGTTAGTAGTACTATTATACCAGTGAAATTACAGTACGAGTACAGTATTACCATCTTAAGAGAGCAGCCACTCAGGGTGCACTGGAACAGGTGCGGATCCTGTAGGGGGCACGGGGGAAGCTGTCCCATTCTTCCCCCCCCCCCCCCATTTTTGCCAATAGATTTTAAAATATGCATTGATATTAGCACAACTCAATTATCTATTCTGAATATGTTGTGACCCCCCGCCCTGGTTGGAAAATGTAGAACCTTAAGTTGGCTGGTTCTATTTCATCACTACTCTCCTTGGAATTCCAGCTGGAAGGAAAGAGCAGGGGACACCAGTTGGAAAAATAATTCAGATTCTCATAGATTGTCCTTGGTATGTTTCACCATAATTCCTGCGTGACCAGTATAATATCTCCTATTCTAGGGAGATGTTTTTTCCATTCTGTTGGTGATGGTGGATTTTTTTAGTCAAATATTTTGTTATGTTTCTGCCTAATTGTCTTTCTTGAGAAATACTTTGCATTTCGTCTTAACATTTTCATCATTATAATGTTGTATGATAATAATCCTTTGATTAAAAATTATCATTATTTTTAACATCATTACTCTCACAGCCTTGATGCCTCATTTATTTTAGTAACAAATTTGTTATTGCACTAAGAATAAAGTTGGTAACTGCATTGGAAGGCACACATATACATCTCAGAGAGAGCTACTCGCTCATTTTCCACCTGTTAATGGTAGCCTTCATTTTTATTTATTTGTTTTGTATTTTATGTAAATGCGTAATCGTCTTTCAATATAAAGTTGCCCCTTATTGACTTATTCAATGAAGATGTTATATGGTCATATTGTCCCATTTGAAATCAAAACATAGATCATTTGTTTACCATTAAGTTACTACTGTATACTAGCTGAGCTATGAAGTGAGGCCCCACTGGTATACTCCTTTAGAATTTTCCATTAGGACTTCCCTATTTTCAGATTAAGGATAATTACTAAATAGAATGTTTAAAGAGAATGAATGGTAATTTGAGAAGAAACATAAGGCACCCATATGGATTTGAACAGGACATTCTACTTACTGTTTGTTTATTTTACCAATATGACTACATGTAAACAAATGTTGTAAATAATCAAGATGAATGTTGAATTACTCGCCCACATGTTGTTAATGATGTTCTTTTCTTACCTGTTTTAACAGAAGAGGTGGAGCCAAAGATCCCCATCCGACCAATCAGTGTTGAGAAAATTGAATGTTCAGAGTCAATAGAAGATTTACGCGTCAAGTTGAATTCCAAGATAGCTAGTCTGAGAAAGAAACGCAAAATGGTTGACAATATGAACAATGGTGTACCCAAAAAACAGGCAAGAAAACTGTTGCAGGAACAAAAGAAGGCAAAATGGGAAGCCATTAAGAAAGCCAGAGCAGACATGCATAAAACCAAGAATGGAAAATCAAGTGGAGGAACAAAAAAAGAATTGTATGAACCAACAGCTCCTCCAGTTTTGAACAGTGAAGGGGAGGTGGCATTTAGCAAATTTGAATTCACTAAATCAAGTGAAAAGAAGAAAAAGTGGGTAAAAACAAATCAACCAAGAAGTAATAAAGATTATACAAGGTTGCTAATGAAAGCAGAGATGGATGTAAAGAAAATGAAGGAATTAAAAGAGAAAGACCCAGAAAAGGCTAAGCAAGTGGAAGAGACTCAGGCATGGAAAAAAGCGATGCAGAAAGCACAGGGAGCTAAGATAAAAGACGATCCAGACTTGATTAAAAAAACGATGAAAAAACAGAAAAAGTTGAAGATAAAGAGTGCGAAGAAGTGGAAAGATAGAGTTGAGCAACAAGAAAAAGTAAAGAAGGACAAGCAGGAGAAACGTACCAAAAATATCCAGTCAAGGAAATCACAAAAACAGATGAAGAAGGTGAAGCGCTTACAAAAGAAGGGTAAACTTCTGCCTGGGTTCTGATCTTCTGAAAATCATGGACTATATAACTACTGTAGTAGTTGCCCTAAATTATGTTGCTGTCTTGTGTTACCTAAGTACCTAACACTATTTTACTTTGCAACATATCAAAAGGAAAACTCGGGAACGATATGAGATACAGATTTTAGAATATTTTCTAAGTTTTTTGTCAAATATGCAGTTCGACAACATATAACCAAAATCTTCCTCTAGAGCTTGAATGTTGTGCAACCTTTTGCTATAGTCTAAAAAATACATAGATTCTATCTTACATTTACAATTTTTGTTACTTGATTTCTTGTGCCAGGCCACTGTATGTTACCTGGAAATAGTAATGTTTTCTTGTGGTAGGCCAAACGATTACTCAGGAGCAGATACAGGTAAATAATCAGGGTTGGTTTGTCAACACATTTTAGCCTAGGCCTTTTTGGTTAGTTTGGTACAAACCATCTCTCCACCAATGCATTTTGGTGTATGAACTGGTGACTAAAATCCTGGATAAATTATACTTTGAAACATACTTCTTATTTGGTTGCCTGGAAAACAGAATGACTCTTTACTTAATTTAGAGATTTTGGGTTGGTTGGGCTTTGGCAACAATGGTTGTTTACGCATTGTAACCAACATACTGATCAACCATGTTTCCAGGCAGCCAATCTTTTAGGAATTTTATGATTTGAAAGTTATTGGACAGTTGAATTTAACTGATGGTAATTGAATACAATTTTATCAATTTTATATTTGTCGATATCTGTTTTGTGTTTGTGTTGGTTTCATATACAATTCAACTTGCCTTAAGTCAACTTTGCCTAACTCAAATAATTTCCAAGTACAGTAGATCTTATTTTATGTGCCAGATTGTTGTATTTTCCATTAATTAGCGATCTGTAAGTCAAATTTTATCTTACTCGAACAATTTTTCAGTACCATTTTGGATTTGACTTAAACAAACTCAAATTTACACTTTTTTGTGGGGGTTTAATATGTCAAGATGGTGATTCAATTCAATCAGTTGTTATAGCCCGTCATTGTAATCATAACCATTTTTTCATCATTATCATCTCTATTGTCATGGCAATCATTAGGTGCCCTCTGGACAATTTACAGTACATGTTGATATGCACGATTTGCTATATAAACAAAGGTTATTAGGGGGCGTGATGATGACACATGCTTGACCCTTCAATATTTTTTAGGATTCGCCTCTTTGTAAAATTCCTTTAAATTACGATTTTAGCAATTTTGTGAGCCTTAAAACGTCCTATACATTAATAATCAATAAAACACATGTTCTGTAAGTATAAGCCTAAGTTTATTAGCATGTCATATGGTCTTTAAACACTGCCATTTCACTATAATATTCATTTAATATTTCTTATATTATTAAATATATTAAAAATGGAATTGCTTACTTGTTAGAGGCTTCCGGAAACGGTAATGGCCTCCTCCAAGCAAGCGAGAATCTCCTGGAAAATAACCGCAAATTCATGATATTTGTATGTTTTCACTGCTTTGTTATCAATTCTCTCGTGGAAGACATTGCCGATGGTTATCACTACGGTGCAGCAAAATGAAATTAAATGTGTTAAGAAAGCTCATTTTAACTAGATCTCCTGGAAGGGACTTATTCCAACTTGGGAAACCCTGAGAATACGAAAAGTGTTTTCATTGCCAATTAATAGATGTTTGATTAATGTCATTTATACCAAAAAAAAAAGAAAACTCCTAAACTGTGAACATGTTGGTACATGCAATTAATGCTGGCCATGAAGTCTTTCAATTTTGTTTTGTGTGATTATTGAACTCGTAGAAGATAAAACAATACCCTACTAGTGGCGGATTTAGAGGAAGAGTAAGAGGAGTACGCCCCCTAGCCCCACCCCATCCCAACCTACATTTTTGTAAAAAAGAGAAAATATTTTTTATTTTCTTAACTGTCATTTAAACCCATTAACAAATATCGTTACACTTTGAATTATGATCACATATGCACATTGATTAAACATACCAATGATGCTCAAATTTTCTAACAAAAACCCATAAAATTCAATGCAGAGAGGCTGGTTGTTGCTATCCATTTCAGTAGGGATGGTGGATATCAGTATTTACCCCCACACCCACATGTGCAAAATGTTTCTATCAGTTTTCACTAACCTTTGGATATATCCACATAGGCCTATGACTCCGAGCTGCTTTAACAGAAAAGGCGCCTCTCCTTTTTAGAAGGTTAAAAAAGAAAGAAAAAGAAAATGTGATCGTCGAAAACGCCTTCGAGGTTATTTTCGTGCGTCTCGAACAAAAAAATTCGCAGGGGCATGCCCCCGGAGTCGCGGACCCCATAAGGTAGTATATAGTTATCTCGATCGGCCGCTATCGGCCTTTCTTTCGGCCCCCTCATCCCCTTTTGGACATCTCTGGATCCGCCCCTGTGGTGGGTGAGAATGTCTACCGGTTTGTTTCCGTCTCCGGCGCCACGAAAAGTCGTCGGACCAAATTATAATTTGTATCCAAATAACGTTATATGGCTGATCCCTAATATTGTGGTCTAAGAGCACATTTTGGGAAATACAAGGGACATATTTCCGGCCCCATTATTGAACAAAAATAAATGTTATAACACAAAGAATTCACATACATACAACGACTGATAAAGCTTAAAGGAATTAAAGACCATCATTCAAGAAAAAAAATAACATTTGGCTCATAGAGTCATAACGTTCATCTTTCCGTTTTTAAAATTTAAAGAAGTATTTCCCATGCAAAACACGGGAAAAAAGGGGAAAAAATCAAAAATCATGTTGAAATTGACTTGTTCAATTTATCTTGAACATAGAAATTAGTGTGTTTACCCATAATAATAAAATTTATTAAATTTCTAAAATATTTTTATGATTTTTATCATTTTCATGGGACAATGCATCTTTAAAAGTATGTTTCTATTAAATTGATCTCTCTTTACTCAAACTATATACCGCCATCTGTTGACCATGAATAGCAGAGTTGATATGATGATGGATGATGATATACGACGCGGAGGCCGTACCAAAGATACTAGAAATACAAGATAGAGTTCTCCACACAAAAAAAAGTGTTCCACCGTGTTCCACCGAAATGCATGGTGAGAATACGAAAAATGGGACGCCCCCTACAGCTGGATCTAAAAAAACTTGTGCCAAACTTTCGTTACCAAGTC